CTTTAACTATACAAAATTAATACATTATATTTGATTTCTTAAAATTAATATTATCTTATTATCATTTTCTTAATGCTAATATTATTATTTTAACATTAAGCTGCTTATTGTTACATATGCATTACGCATTTAATTTCACGTTTTCACAAAAAAATACATGTAATGAAATGAACATCGTTATTTAATCGTCAACGCGAGCAAAAAGAACAATGGCAGCAATTACGATCCTCCACTTAATAATGCACATGAGTATATTTCCGGCATCTATTAAATCAACAATAACAGATATATATTATTCTGAAGCTTAAAATAATATTATAAATTTTGAATCATTGGTTGTGCCGTTTAATTATTGTCAATCATTTTCACTGGTATAGATCAATAAAGCCAACTCTCTATATGCTGATGTAAATGTTTTTGACCTAATGTATTAGTATAACAAGCTATATATTATATATTAATATTTAGTAAAGTCATGGATAAATCGATGATTTTATTAAAAAGTCACATGTCAATGATTACTAATTCAATAACAACAAAATAACTTAGTTACAGCATATGTTGTTATGTCACTTTTGACATGTTGACATGTAAATATATGACATCATAGGTCTGCATCAAGCATATCAAATCCCACATCCTGATTCAATGCACAAATCCTGAAAGTGTAACATCACAACGCCAAAATTATTAAAAATATTGGAGTTTCACCTAGCATTAATTAGCCGCACAAAGATACACCTAAATTTACATGTAACATGTGCATGTATAACGATAACATTGATACCAAATGGGGAAATTTTCACGAAAACCGGTGTGAACTCAACACGGTCAAAAATGAAAAATATGGGAAACAGACTATTTTCTATCTTCTATATTTTAAGGCAGTGCGAGACACAGCTGAAATAATACCATGAATCAACAACGAATCGACATTTATCAAAGTGATGAACAAAAAGTATTCGAGTGGTACTTGAAAGCAGCGGAGTCAGGACAACTTAACGCGCAATATAAACTTGCATTCATTTAATAAGAATTTTAATTCAGTAATTTAGCAATGAATAATACATATACGCATTTTATTTTAAAATTTGTTGAACTAAAATATTAATTTTTTATTTACTTTAATGTAAAAACATTCGGTAAACATAAATGAGAAACATGTATCGTTACGGGAATTAGCATTGTATTAGTCCGCCAACCCGTATAATTCATGGCTCTTAATTTACTATCATATACATGTACATTTATATTCTATTTAAATAAAATGCAAAGTAAATATTTATTATTTATTTAATAAATACATGTATTCCTCTCTATAGTCACACTTATACAATAATAAAATATTTATCGTGAGATTTGATCTATGTGTAGTCCTAAATGCTAAGTTATTATACATGTTGTTAAAAGTTTTCAAGTTAAACATAAACATTTATAGTCATCAAACCATTTATTTTACTATGGTTCCCGATTCTGCAACTATAGAAAGGACAATTGTAATGTAAATGAAAAATCAAATATAAAAATAAAATAAATAAATTTTATAAACAGAATAAAATACATATATTAGTATAATTTCTTTATTGACTAATATCTCTTTTATCTAATTGGTTAATCAATTATCTATCTATCGTTTATAACGAAAAGGGCAATAAGGCATCATTTCTTTGAGCACAAAATTATACCAATTTATATTTTGAAGCAGTATTGATTCAATTAATAAAGTAATTAAGTTCTCTTTATTCATTTTATCATTTTCGGATATATAAAAATAACCAATGGTAAAAATTATAAGCAAAAGTATAATTATTCTAATTTTAATTCATTATTTAAAACCGATCATTATAGACAAAATTTATAAATTTCCACGTGGTATATAACGCACTAATTATAAACGACAGCTTCGCCAACATTAAAAATTATCTAACATTGAAGTAACAAAAATATTCCGCCGAATTCCTCTTCTGATCTAATCTGAAATAGTGATAATAAAGAAAATCGACGAAGCAGATGTGCACCACAAGAGCGTCAAGGGTTGGCGTAACTAATTTTATAAATGTGATTAAAAATTACACCAATCGAATGTTTACTTCAAAATTAATCCCGGTACGCACTTTTATCAAAATGACATTTAGGTTATACAAGTGTTAGTTTGTATGTTCCAACGAAGGTAAAACTACTTTTGATATTATTTTCATCAATTTCATTGTTTTTTCTTTATGGTAAAAAAAGATTTCGATATTAGTATGCTACACAAAATTGAGGATATGCCAAGTGATAAAAAACTTCAAATTCAGAAATTCATGTTAGCTGATTTACAAAAAGTGGGTGTTTACGCGAATATTTATTAAAATTTACTGATTTTAACACACACATAATAGACATAGCCCTAGTAATGAATAGCTTATCGTTGCATATTATATGTAATTGAAATGTGTGAGATTCATATTTAGCATACAATACTGAGAATAATATCAGTTATTTTGTTTTATTCATATATCTTATCTATTATCAATTATTGACTATGATCATTGTAAAATCAGATAACTAATACATGTAGGGAGAAGATTAATTAACATGTGTGTTAATGATAAGTCATTGCACATACATGCATGAGAGCTGAATGCATCAATCGTGCACAATAAACAAGGGAATTTATTTTTGTGAGCAGGTTTATTTTGTGTAACAAGTTTAACTATTTAAGAAATGGCGCTCGAAAGAGCCTAGTTATAGAAAAGCATAAAAACTTCTCCGTAAAGGAGGCTAATTTTAGAGATTCGTTTAACATGATAGAAACTAATACATGTACTTACTTTGGAATATAAATTTTATATCAAAATGCGTAAATTATACGCTCGTCAAGAGAAGTTAGTGGTTATACATGTAACAAGAAAGTAATGTAAATATATACTTTTAAATATAATAAACGCGACATATTAATTTTTAATATAAGAAACCAAATTCGCAAAAATTCTTTAATTTAGAATTGCTTAAAAGCTAGGTAATATTAAATAAGCTTTAATTTGCCTTTTATGTTATATGTATACGAACTAATATTATTAATAAAATATCGAAAAGATGTACTCATTAATTGAAAATTTTGATATAATTGAATGTAACATAATCCTTTGAATCTTCAAAGCTGCATATTTGAAAGATTGATAAAGTTCGAATACATGCACTTATATATTTATTTTAACGTTAATAAGCAAATTCCAAAGTAGTACAATAAAAGAAATAATCTCTCCTTTACATTTGTTATTTGCTCGAAAAAGCGTTCGGGAAGTCCAAATGCGGCAAGTTATGAATGAACGAGTAAAAAAAGCATATTGTGCAGTAGATAAATAATATGTACGTTATAAGTATATCTGATTCGTTTTTATTATAAGCTTGCTTATTCACAGCAGATTCTAATTGTGGTCCAGTATACTTGAGTGGGTTCTATATTGAAAGAACATAATTACTTTACATATGTGCTTGTATTTTAAATACATTGATTTTATTGTTGTAGCAATAAATGGATTTATACGAATAAGAAATATTTTCAATAGGATATTAAGATAAATCCTTTTATATATTAATAGTTTTCTATAAATTTAATAATAACTGTCATTTGAGCTATAAATTTATTCATATATAATGTTTACATAAAGAGTATTCTTAAGGTAAAAATTAGGGAATAAGTATTATGGCTAATTACAAATAATAAATCAGCAACTTATTACATCTTCCACCTTAATCTCTCCATATTATTATTCCCCTTTACCTTTTATATTCCTAAAATATAATGGTACTCTCTTCATACAACATTCTGGAAAGGTGCTAACTATATTTTTAGGAATGCTGAATTAAAATGCCTGGATTACTTTATGCAGTGTATGCCTATTTTTGTGCAGGACAATTTCTAAATTTATCAATTGATTGCTATGTTTTCTACTAATAATAACATAAAGAACAAGAAATCATAATATTTGCTTTGATGCAGTTCTCTCTCAATGTAGCATCCATAAATACATGCATTCTTTAAATGCATGTTCTGGCTTAGACTTAAGCTATATTCGAACCCATTCTCCATATGAAAATTTATTAAAAATGCACTATTAATTCTATTGTATATTATTTGGTTGTACATGTATATATATAAATATAAATTATATTTAGAAAGGTCTGATTTTATATATATATATTTGAAAGTTTAAATATATATCTAATATATAATTATTAATTTAATATATAATTGAGAATTATAAGTATATATTATTTATGCTATATATATGTAAGATCCGACAAAATCATTATCATGCATGGTAATTCTAAACTGGAAGAGCGTATGTAATATAAGAGAAATTTCTAAAATGATAAGACAAGGAGAAGATTATGATTATGCAAGAAGATTCTGGAGTTTTCTTACAATAAGAAGCGGCTGATTATGCACAAATGAGTTCATGTTTTTTGCTGCCTGATAATGATTTTGAAGCTCACGGATCTTTTAGGAAAATTTCTTGATCATACAAGATGATTCTGGATTTTCTTGCTTAATTATGCGCAAATGAGTGATGTTTATCGATGATGCTCACGGACCCATTATTTTGATTAACTTTAATCATTTTGCGCGAGATCATAAACTTGGTTAAAAACTTGACTTATGAATTACTAAATGCGACAAGAGAATGGGACGCGAAGGATAGCAGAAAATCGGAAATCACTGTAAAAATAATACATGTTTATTTGGAATTCAAAAATTCATAAATATTTTATTTTTGGAAAAGAAGTTCAATTGTCACATGTACATGTCTAACTAAAAAAATTCAATCTTATCTTAATGACAAAAAACTAGACTAATTATAAAGATAATTGTAATTGTGCTTTATCGTTGTAGTAAATTATGTTATATTATCATTCGTAAAATAAAAGTGGCTAAAGCTATGTGAATCAAATCCTTTGTAAAAATGTTAACAAAGAAAACACTTTAAAGATTATGATTTTTATTTTACTGATCAATGAAAAGAAGTCTACCTGCTCCTGACTTAATTTATCGCTTTCCAAACGCTATGATCCTATTACCATTGACCTTGAGAAGTAAAGTGGTGAACGAAACATACATAAAAAGAATTCCAATGACCACAAAGGCGTAAGGCATATTTTTTTCATACGCTCTAAAGATGATGATCAACAAAAGTCCACCTAAGTTGCTCCCAGCTCCGACTAGACCCGAGATAACACCGATTATCGGTGGGTCAACGAAAGGGACGATACCAAATGTGGTGCCGGCGCACGCCTGGAAAAATGATTTGTAGGTTTTGACAATTAGTTATAAGTCAATGCGCATAATCCCAAACGCATCAAATGAAAGCAGCGGTAACATATACCACCTTGTGTAAAATAACTGAAGAAGACTAGCGCGACGAATGCTCTGGACAGTGTGTTGCATGTATATCGAAAGACAATCAAGAAGACGCCTTCACAGCATAGGACGCAGAACTGCGTAATCATACGACCTCGGATACCCATTCGTTTGTTGGCGGCATCGAATATGAAACCACCCGAAGGCTGAGAAAAGAAAGTTCATGAGCCCAAAGAGCGCGCCAACTAAACCTCCGAACGTCCAAATTGATCAACAAAGAAGAGACCAATGACATTATTGACGGCAAGCTCGAGCCCGAAACTACAGGAATACATGCACATGAGGATGATGATGTTGTGGTTCTTTAGGGCCCGTAATAAATCTTTAGGTTTTGATCGTGATGTAGGTTTCACATTCTGTTCTCGGAATCGCTATCAACACTGGTTTCGTTGTCTTGTTTTTTCTCTGCAATGATTTTTTCTGAGTCTTCTTTTTTTTCATTATTAACCTTTTCATTATTAAACTTTTTCATTATTAACCTTTTCATTATTAACCTTTCATTCTCAACTTTTTTTCATTATCAACCTTTTCGATATTTGGAATCCAATGTTGAGACAATCACCTTACGGGCAGTCATCGGCAAAAGAAGACTGCATATACAAAGGCAATTCCGTTATAACGAACCCTGTTATACCAAATATCTCGTTATAACGAAGAATTTTTAAAATCCACTTTCAATCATATAGAATTTACCCCAGTTTAATATAAAAACCTTTGTTAACCGTATCCGAAGATTTTTATTGGAACAGTACTAACAAATTTACCCCGTTTATCCGAAGTTTCAATTTAACCGAATTATTCCTTTTGTCAACCGAAGGAAAATTTTTTTGGCCAATAAAAATGCAGCATTATAAATGTGCGTAACACTCTCACATATTTGCTGGCATACATGGAGACCGATTGTGAGAGTGTCGATTCTGCTTCTTCAAAGCGACCACGGGAGGTTCAAAGTGGTTTTGCTGGTCCTTCAAAACATTCAAAGACATCCGTCAAAGCAAAAGCTAAATCAGATATTAAAAGAAAACGAATATGCTTGACTGTTAGTCAAAAAATTTAGATATGTCATGCACCCCAAATATAAAGAATAACCAACTAGCTTCACAATATGGTGTGGGTGAATCAACGATATCTGATATCTTAAAGAAGAAACAGTACTTTCTGGCATTAGAACCTAATGATTATACTGCATCCTTGCGCCGTGAAAGATCATCAAAATTCCTAACAATTGAACAAGCATTGGCTATTTGGATTGATCAAGCCACAAGTGACAACCAAACATTGTCTGGGCATACTGTTATTGCAAAAGCTGCTGCCTTTGCTGAACACCTTGAAATTAAGGATTTTAAAGGCTCATGGGTGGTTTGAACACTTTAAAAAGTGCTACAATATTCGTGAATATATTCGACATGGAGAGGCGAACTCAGCTCCTTTAGAAGATCCTTCACAACACCATCATGACTTTTGCAACCTTTTTTCTACATAGAATTTGAAAAATGTTTTTAATTATGATGAAATGGCGCTCTATTGGAAATTGGAACCCTCAAAAACACTTGCTCGCCATCTAGCTTCTGGAATAAAAAAACCTAAAGATCATATTACAATCCTACTCACTTGTAATGTAATAGGAACCCAAAAGTTTACATCAGTTTTTATCCACAAATATAGAAAGCCAAGATGTATGCGAAATATTGATTGCAAAAAACTACCTGTTTATTACTATTGGAACTCAAGTGCATGGATGCATGATGATGACATGACGTTGTTTGACAATAATGATGAAAATGACGGAAGAGAAGTGAAAATGAATGCTTTTTTTCATTATTACAGTTCTTTAAAATACCCTAAAACAAATAAAGAAATGAGACAGAAATTGAAAAAACTTTACGAGATGAATAAAAAATAATAAGTGGATGAAGACAGTTAATGAATGTATATCAGAGAAATCCCATCAAAAGAAAGAGAAAGATATTGATCAGGATTTACTAAGAGAAAAATTTTAAATGACTTAGAATTATACTATGGTAACAAACGTCAATGCAATTTTATTAATTTTTATAATGAAATTTCTAATGATCATGTTTTAGTATTATATATTAGAACGCTAATTCCTATTGGTTAATAAAAACTACACTAAATTTAAACTTCCATAACCAACTTTGGTTGCATGGCCGGGTTATGAAATCCATAAATTTTCTTTATACATGTATGGTCTTATATATATAAAGTAAAAATAAATATTTCAAAAGTAGAAATTACAATTAAATTTTTCAAGAATAGATTCAGATTGTTCTTAAATACTGTGATAATGGTAATATTAATTGGCTCTGGTAAATAAACTCTTATAAAAAAAAACTATAGAATTTTTATCTAATATTTTTGGTATTCAAAATGATGGAATGATCCTATGTACATAAATATTATATTACAAAAATATAGATTTTAAATAAAAATAAAATATAGTGCTTTAAAAATAGAAACATGATAATAAATATAGTAATATGTGATATGAAAATATGAATATTTATAAAATAAATAAGAATTATAGAAAAATATGATTTCACATAATCAAGAAAAAATTATGAAACTAAGGAATTTTATGCCACTATGGTAACATATGATCCTTCTTCAGAAAATTTTTGCTTCTGCAAAAATTAATTAATAATCTTCAATAGTTCTTTCTTGTTCAATTGACATAACTTAAATGGTATAAACTCAAATTGATTGTCAAATGCTTTTTCTTCAGACTTATAAACAAAAAAGACTTTCTGGACAATATTATATAGTCTATTATATATACATTTTTTAAGAGAGTCTTTAATATTCTTTTTAATTTCTAATATATCTCTTAAATATTTCTGTAATTGAACTGAAAGTATATGTTCAAGTTTATAATATTGAATTATCATTTGACTATTATCTATTGAATTATTATAGATTAATAATATGACTTTCTTAAGTTTAATTGACTAATCTTTTTCCAAAATAGATTTAATATTTTCAGATATAGAAATAGATAATTTAGACTTTTCTTTAGAAGTTATTGAATTATCAGAACTTATAAATTCTGATTCTTCTTCAATATTTTCTTGCTTAATATTAATTTTAAATTTTTCCTTTGGTGAAGTAACAATAAAGATATTTAACCAGTTAAAATCTAAGTTAGTAATTATATTAATTAATTTAACAAATACTTCAAATGATTTAATATTCATTTGAGAATCCAAGAGAAAAATATTATTGACTTTAATATCTTTAGTAAATCCAAATTGCATGAATAAGTTCAATAACAAAATAGTAATTTCTTGTTCTATATTATTATAGATGAGTAATCCAAAGGTTAAAAAGATAATCATTCCAAAGGATTATTGAGCAAGTATTTTCTGATAGATCTCTTTAAGAGATTTGATTATTTGAGAAGTAATCTAAATAAGTAATTAAGATATAATAAGAAATAATAAAAGTAAAAAATATAAAAAAATTTGAAAAGATATAAGATAATAAAGATAAAAGTAAAAGATAAAAGTAAAAATGTGAAAGAATAAAAAAAAGAAAATAGAAGAGATATTTATATAAATTTTGAACTAAAAGTCTATTATAAATGATAAGTTATTAAAAATATTAAGAAAAGAATAATTATAAAAATAAATAAAAATAAAATAAAAAGAAATTCTAAATATAAGAATGACAAAAATTAAGAGATAATTCATATGAGTCACTCAATAATAATTTATAATTCAAAGTAATCTTGATATCATAATAATATTTGAGTTGTTTTCTATTAATAGAATACTTATAAATATTTCTATTTTGATACAGATTTGTAAGAGTTATATTCAGTATAGTCATGAATATAATACTATTCTTTACTCCAAGTAGATTGAAATTTATCTCTAATTACTAAGTATTATTTCATGTCAAATATTAATATTTTATTTTCAATTTTGAATATAATTTCATTTTGAATTTTATTATTATATATTTAAGAATATTATAATTATTATTTTTCTATATTTTACTTTATTTCTAATATTTATTGAGGCAACTGATCTACTGTATAATATATTTGTTATATTAATTTTTCTTCTTCTGTAGAATTTTCTTCTAAATAGTAGGAATTTTTAATTCAATTAGTAATTTAATATTTTATTTATAAGTTAAGAAAAATTATTCATGCTTTATTATTGAATTTCAATTAGTTTAATAAGCAAAAAGAATAGTAAAAATAAAGATATTCTATTCTTGTTTATATTCTATTGTTAATTTTTATAAGATTATATATAATATTCTATTAAAATATTCTATTATTCTATTAATTTGTGAGTAATAAGATGAAGAAAATTTATATTTGATTTCAAATTTTATTAATAATTTTTTGACTATTTTGTTAATAAATTCTAATCTATTATCTGATTGAATTTCTTTAGAATATTTATATCTACAGATTATTTCTTTAAAAATAAATTTTGTAATTATAGTAGCTTTCTTGTTAGAAATTACTTTAGCTTCAGGCTATTTTGTAAGATAATCTATTGTTATAATGATATATCAATTTTTAGTTATTATTATTTTACTAGGTTTAATTAGATTAATAACTATTTTATTGAAAGATTATCCAATTTTAATAGGATATAAAGATTATTTAGTAGTTTTTTCACTAGTTTGCTAGCAGATTTTATTAGTCTTTATATAATTCTTTATATCAATTCTTATATTATTCTACTAATATTTATTTGCAATTTATTAATAGATCTCTTTATAATTAAAATATCTAAATAAAAAGCTTGAATGTAAATTAATAAGAATAGTTTCTATTTTATTTTCTTTAATAACTTAAAGAAGTATAATTAGTTTTTTTTGTTGATTAATTTTATATAATATACTATTAATTTGTAA